TTCTTTAGTTATGTCTTCCAGCACAACTATATAATTCTGTCTTCTAGCACTAATGTGTACTTCTATACACTACCACAACTGTGCTGGTCTGTTTTATAGTACATCTGTGTACCTTGTATTTTTAGGACAACTGTGCAGTTGTATAATAATTACAAATTAAATTTCAAGTTTTATAAACCTATAATTTTGTGTTAATAATCATATAAACTGTAGGTGTTTTTGTTTTACATTCCTTACTTTATCCATTTCGGATTCCAAATCAGAAGTGTAAAAACAGAATGTCACTGCTTAAGATGCCTTTCATTGAATATCAGGACTTGTCAGTTGGACTAGATAATGAAAGAAAAACGGTTCTTTCAATTCTATGTATTATACTGCTATAAATCGGGTTTGATATCCGTGGTGGGCAGAGCACAGATACACCTTGGTGGTTAATAACAACCAACATCAATTCTATGTATGGATGCAGTATAAATCTTTAAAAGATATGGTTTAAACTGTGAAAACTGGCATATCATTAGAAACCAGTAGGCTTAACATATGTAATATAAATAGCATAAACTACAAGAGACTTTTTTCACATTTCTCTTAACTTGTCAATTTGGCATTCCAAAATAGAGGTATGTAAAAATAGCATATCTTTTGTCTCCTACAAATCATTGTCCAAGAGGTTCAATAGCAGAACATGTCAATTGGGTTGGAAGATGAGAGACAGGTTGTGCTCTCTCTTTAGCCGGGAGAAGTAACCATAATGTAGTAATCTATACTAAAATGTGAGTGGTCAAGTGAACATTATCTTTATTTGGTGTAGACAGGATTGAGAATACAAAACAGGAGAGTGGGGGAATGGCATCAAATGCAAAGACATAGAAGTGAAACTAATAACCAAGTAGTATGACAATAGGGTATGGAGAGAGAAACAAAGGACTTGAGAGTGTAGAGCAGGAGGGGGGCATTAAACCACTAGCAGGTTCCAGATAAATATCACATTAGATTGATTTTTTTATGGCCTTGGTGCAAGTCACAGTGAAATTTGCTTTCCAGGTAAGAATATTGTCAAAATGTATAACCAGATATTTATCAGAATCTCAAGATTGAACAGAAACATGATGAACATGGATGTTAACCAATGTGTATGGGTGGGGGTTACAGTACATGTCATAAACTTTTACAAAGTACCATTCAAAATGGATTTTTTGTTTGATATCAGAGTTATCAACTATTAATTTGACCTGACATTGCTGATTTACTGACAGTAAATGGCAGATGAGAGTATATATCAGATACAATATATATGCTACAGAAAAACTATAGATATATATTTCAATGGTTTAGAGTTATACAAATTCAATATTAAACCATAAGATAGCCAAAAGTATGTTTATTCTTCACTTGAACATCACCTTGCACTCCAACTTTTCACATTCTGAGTCAGACTGACATTGGCAATTCACAGACATATTTTGAGTACAAATACTTTTGTAACACATCTGATTTTTTGTGTACAACAGACAAGTACATAATAAAGAAAAATGGTATGATGATCCAAAAACAAAAGTTTTAATTTATAATCATGAGACAGAGAATTGGCACGATCATCTAAAAGATAGTTACTTTATCTTGCAAGCAGAATAAATACAGAAAGAGTATGATGATAATAAAATAGAGGAGTTTCAACTGATAAACAAAAACACAGAGAAGGGGTATGATAATCACACAATACTGTTCACGCAATTTGATAATATAAATAGGGTCTCAATCACTACTGTGTCTGTCATATCCCAGCCAGTCTGATAGTACTGGGGCAAAAAGCCTTGTCAGCACAGAATATAGCAGATATATGGTTGACATATAGTTATATATTCTTCTTTTCTTCCACTCATAAGTTTTTAGAATTTAATGTAAAAACCATAAGATAAAGAGAACAGATATGATAATTAAGAGAAAATAGAAGTTGAAAATTGTAACCACAAGACAAAATAATGAATATGAAAATAAAAGAATATAGAAATTTTAATTATTACACTAGATTAACACCATATTCCAGTAAACCATCATTTATTTTATTAGAATAATACTTCTAATAAATTTGCTGTTCTATTTGTGTATCTCGATTACAAAAATATAACTGCTTTTTGAATGCCCACTTTGGGTGATTCATGCCACTGTTCTCAAAACCTTTCATTCAATAAGAGAGCTTATCAGCTGAGCTGGGCATGCAATGTTTTCATCAAATGCTATATGTATCAGTTGTGTAATACTACATCTCAAAAAGTTGTTATCCTATCAAACAGTTTGCTCATTACATGATTGCTACAAGATGTTTTTTATAATTTTTATACAAGACATATTCCATTAATTTTTAATAGAAATTATAGTAGTGGAAAAATTATTGCATCACCAAATTTTTTTCACGCTTTTTTTGGTTTCTGTAATGTTTTATGAGATTATGTATTGTGGAAGTGTCAGAACTGGTGTAAAATGGTTATGGACATTCTGTTATGTTTTACAAGATTGTGTACTGTGGAAGTTCTGACGCTGTGTGGTGTAAGCTGACTCATATTTCAGTCATTCAAACACATATATATGCATTTTTATTAATAAACCAACCAGAAAAAACTTATTAAAGCAGATGTTCAACAAATACTTGCTAAATATGAAAATGTTTTCTGAGTAAGAACACCTAATATTATCTAATATAATTGATAAGAAGTCTGTTTCTTGTTTTGATATTTGGTTGTGCCTCCTCTAGCCTTGATAACTGCTTGACATCATTGTGGCATAGAATGCATTAAGGATTGAGTGTAGGCAGAGGTGAGTTCATGATGCCACATGCGGATTAGGGCTTCCTACAGTTCCAAGGCGGCTCTTGGTTTCCTCTCTTGCATTTTGTTACCCATTACCTTCCAGCAGTTTTCAACAGGGTTGAGATCTATGCTGTTGCCTGGCCAGCATAGTGTCTTGATTCTCTCCCATTGAGTAGAGTGAAATTTCCTCTTTATTTCACATCTACTGCTTATAGTGCATGAATATTAATAATATTTTTGGCTCTTTCCCATGGAGCAGTCATCCCGGAATGTGTGCACTGGTAAATTCAAGTGATCCCCTATTGTTTGCTTTAACTGGGACTCGAGGATCTCGATGTATTTGTTGGCACCGAAGGTGCCTTTCATAAAATGCAGGCATCCCACACCATGGCCAGGGATGCATCCCCATATCACATGACCCTGCAGATGCTTCTCATTTGCATTCAAACATGCCGGATGAAATTCTTCTCTACATCGATGTTGGACAAAGTGCTTCCCATCAGACTCATACAGGTTGAATTTTGATTTGTCTGAGAAGATCACTTTGCTCCACATTGCTTCAGTCCAGTCAGCTTGCTCTTTAGCCCAGTTGAGTCTCATCTTCCCCATCTTGTTGGTGAGGAGGGGTTTCTTTCTTGGCCATCTTAATGAGATATTAGCTGAACACAGGTAAGACTGGATGGTGTGCACAGATCACGAAAGAGCATGGCAGGAAACTTTAGGGATCTGTGGCCGTCAGTCGATGAATAATTCTGTAGGCTGTTGCATTTCAGAACACAATCGTCAGCTGCTGTGGAATCTTTATTTCTACCCCTACTCTCCTGCTACTCCACACAGCCAATATCTCTGCACTCAGTGACTCACAGTAGACTGGTTAAATTTAGTCCTTCTAACAATCTGCCTTATCAAAAGTCCTTCTTTGCTTAAAGAAACAATAACTGCTTTTTTTTTTTGTGGAGTTATCTTGCAACCCTTGGCCATGGTAGCATGACATGCAAGTTGTAGCAGATATTCTTCTAAACTGACTCTCACTAAGAACCTCTATTTATAGCCAACAAATGGCTGATGCAATATCCAGAAAGCCTATAAAACTGCTGATGTAATAATTAGACAGCATTGCATCATCCATGAAACACATTTGTGCCTACATGCATTAGGGCCTTAAAATAGATGATGGTACTGAAGTGGGAGAAAATTGGGTAATGCAATAGATTTTTCACTACTGTACACAACCATTAACATCCTCCATACCACAATAGAGTAATATAATCTTAATTAGTATGACAACCACAAAACACATACATTTAAACTTATAACTACAAGATGGCTAATGATTATGAAGTTAACAAAACATAGAAGTTTTACCTTGTAGCTACATGATAGCTAATCATTATGAAATTCACAAAACACAGAAAATTTAACTTATAGGTACACAATGGTTAATGATTATGACAATCACAAAACACAGAAGTTTTAACTATAACTACATGATGGCTAATGATTATGATATTCATAAAATTCAGAAGATTTAACTTCTTATACCTATACAATGGTTAATGATTATGACATTCACAAAACACAGAAGTTTTGTTTAATAACTACATGATAGCTAATGATTATGATATTCATAAAACACAGAAGTTTCACCTTATAGTTACATGACAGCTAATGATTATGACATTCATGAAACATAGAAGCTTTAATGTTTAACCATCATAAAAAAGTTAATTTCCCATTGCAGGGTTTGTTTGAACATAAATTATCGTGAACAATTTAGGTTTTAGTTAGTCATAAACATGTGAATTATTTTTTAGGAAGAGTGAGAAGGATACTAGAATTTAGAATAAACAGCTTAATCTCTAATATAATTTTTCTTATTTTGATTTTACCACATATTTTTGAATATGAATATTTCATCAATGATGTTGTTATTACCATACAGAGTGGTTTTCTCATCATATGATTTTTGCAGGATATGTCTCGTAACATTTACACAGAAACGTACTTTAGTTAATCTTTAGTTTCCTCGCTGAAAAATCTTCATACTAGATTATATAATCATTACTATACTTATACCACTACAGAGTAATATAGTTTTTACAACTTTAAAAACAGTGTACAAATAATTTAGGTTTATGTAGTTACGATAACAAATATTACAAATTCAAGAAAAGTATACAAATTTATTTTTCAATTTTCAATTAACTAATACATTGGGAAGTGATTACATGAAAGAAAAATATTTTATTTTACATCAAAATTTTTTTGATAAAAACAAATCATAGATATTAAGTATGAAAACACTGAATTATACAAAAAGCCACTGTGCAGGATATTGTGATCTAGAAGTCAGATATAATGTATGTACTAAATTTGAAAGATGTGTTATATATTACACTACTTTTAGGATGTCAATATAAGCAACAGGATTTTTTCTTTTATCAAATTTTAGAAATGGGAACTGAAATGAGCTTGTATATTTTATTAAATATCCTATTAACCAAAACATGTACAAATTACTGAAGTTTCAACATTTACTATCATTTCAAAGTAACTGAAGTTCCTATTTATTAAATATTAAAATATGTAACCTGTAAAACCTTTCAAGTTATTTCTTTCAACTACATGCAAGGTAGTACTCACAATACTTGATATTACAAGTTCTACTGTGACTGTTTCATTCAATACAGATCATGCATTTTCTTTTATAAAGCAGATCAGTAATGAAACTGTGTTCAGAACAAGAAATATATAGATGTACTTGATCACAAGGATGCAGCAGCATCAATCACTGGTTGTGTACAGTACCTCACTCCATTGATCTGTAATAAAAAAACAGAAATATATAGATGTACTTGATCACAAGGATGTAGCAACATCAATCACTGGTTGTGTACAGTACCTCACTCCACTGATCTGTAATAAAGAAATATATACTTACATATAGATATACAGAACTTTACTGAAACTACTAATACATAACGTCAGAGTACTTATCTGTGTAAAAATGTGCATTAATATACACCAATACATGTAATTCAACAGTGCATACTTTACAAACTTTATGAGGCATGATACACACACATGCAAGCATACACTGAAAGTATCAAACATATAGTATCTGAAGTTACTAATTTGTGAGTTCAAATTGCAAGGAATTACAAAATGAAAATGTCTGAGGTATGCATGTTTTTAACATGAACATACACAATCAAAGGTGTCCATTTTAAAAACAAAATGTTCCATTCCAGCCAAACAGTCTTCTCTTGAAAACAGTTTGAAATTTTTAGCTAAGAATTATGTTCCATATGACCCAGAATAGCATAAAAACTTTTTTTAAACAGAATACATACAGATGTGAAACAGATTTGTTACTTATATATTCAATATGTATAGTGAAATAAACAGCTTCAATACTATTAACTACATTAATTGTTAATAAGCGATTAAAATTAGCACTATAAAACAATAATGAACTTATATAATATAAACATTAAAAAGATTTAAGTAAAGAATCCACTGTCAATCCTAGTTGTCACTTTAAAGTCATAATAGATAATGTGGTAAATGCATTGGGGATATCCCACCTACCAGACAAAATCCATACACTGATGTTAAATTATCCAGCAAGCATGGAAAAATCAACCTGCAGCCAGTTTTTATAACTCCTAAAGTAGAAATGAAACCACCCTAACATTTCTATTACATGCAACTCCCAACCTCCAAGGAACAGGCCATAGATAGTGAAAATATAATATAAAAAATATGTACTGTTGCTAATTTATAATTTTTTAATTTCAAAATGAAATATTCAACAATCTTCATTTCTCTGTTTCATATAATGCAAATGCATCTTACCTTTTAATTTCTTTTTTTTTGGGGGGGGGTTCATTATTCTCTTTTATGAGTTTTAGAGTGAGTGTCCAACCAATTAGAAACACAAGCTATAGATACTAACAAACTAAGATATATAATGTGAGCTTCTTACCTTCTCGAATTGCAGAGATATAAATAAATTTGTTATACCCATCAGTGAAGCTCCTCCAATCTTATCATAATTTTCAAAAAATATATCTATTTCACAAGCCCTTATATGATGGGCATGTTTATAATCAATAGAAAAAGCGATTTTTCCAGCTAATAAAATCTCATAATGGTTATTTCTTTTTGGTGGGCAGATCTATGAAATTCACCTCAGACGATTTATGTGGGAATATCATTGCTCAGTTGCAAACACTTAACAGAAATTTCTAATCCTATTTAGAGTCAGAAAGCCAGTTAAATTACAGTAGTTTGAGGACATTCTATTCTAATGTGAAATATATTTTTTATGTTATAAAATGCATATTTGGAAGCTATATGAATTTGTACTTGAAGAAGTAATTCAGTGAAAAAACATGGAGTTACATTTTGCAGGTCATGCACTTTGGTTGGAGTGTTTATAATACTTGCTAATGAATTACCATTGTGAGTTATTACTGTTTGACAGGAAGATTACTACAAATCAATACAAAGTCAAAATCACAAAATACACATGTAGAAAAGCACGCAAAACCAAAGAAAATTAAATAGGTCATTTAGAAACAAAAAACAAACAGAGAAGGAAAAAAACAGAGATAAGTGTATATATGAAACCCTTAAAAGTTAACATATCGAAAATGTATTTCCTATAATACTTTCCTCACTTCCAACACATCAGCTTTAACCTCATAAAAGTTTCTCTTCTCTGCCCATCTAAGCATTGGTATGAATTTTACCTCACTTGCTCCAGCCTTTATACCCCACTATACTGCCCATAGCAATTTAAATCTTGTGATTCTCTCCACCTATGTTAATGTGACCCCTATACCAGCTCCCAATTATTACTTCCTATGCACTTTTCGAGACAGTCCAAATTAACAAATCTGATTTTTGGTATAGGAAAATATTAATTTCTAAAACACACCTCCTCTCACACTTTAGCTTGACTCCCACACTGACAAGGTGGAGGAGCCAGTGAGGGCAAGGTCCACACAGAAAGCATGTGCATTGAAAAGAGGTGTGCGAAAATGAAATGTAGTAATAGCTCACCAGTGAGGTCTGCACTACTTCTGGAACAGGTATGCTCTTCACTCGAACCACATTAAATCAAATTCTTGGATGGTAAAGGCTGGCCGGCTACAGAGACAAAATCCTAATATCTTTAAAAGAACATGCATTTGTTCAGGACCCATCCAGGCAGATGAGGTCCCATGACTTGTCCTTGAAATTATAGGGCTGTGGACTCAAACTGAGATCCAAGGTGTAGTGGCTAGTGTATGAGGACTGCTTTATTGTTTGGTTTTGTTTAGTAATGTGATATTATTGGAACCCAACTTGAAAGTTACAGAATGTTGCAAGTCAAGCTACCAGAATTATGAAGAGAAGACAAGCAATACGAAAGTGAACAAACCCTCACCCCTATCTGAAGAAGTTCAAAATGCAACAAACTGAACTCGGAATTATGGGATCTGTCATGCCTCACTCAACCTGAAGAAACAGAGATTACCTAGTCCGGGATTACGAATTGAAATCCTAACTTTCCAACCTGAGAGGCAAGGCAATACCTCTTACTCTCTGAATTATGAGGAAGATTTGGAACAGACGAAGTTCAATCAATGGCACAGGAAGTGACGCTCCACATATTGATGACACAATGATGAAAAAGAGGGTCCATGCACAACCAAACCGGATAGCAAAAAGTCATCTCTGAAATGGAAGTACAAGGAAGCTCCCATATAGGCTGGTGCTGCTCCTACCATACATCTGGGAAAACATCCAGGGTTATTGAAAGGAGGGAACTACGTTTTTCCCTCTTCTACTTGAGTGGAATAATGAACACAAGCATCACTCAGGAGGAATAAACCTCTGTATACCATTCCAGGGACTGGAAACTGGGAGTGGTAATGACTCCATGCTCCACTAGGAGAAATGGGGGAGTACTCATGTTGGAGAGATCTGAGAAATGATGCTGCAGAGACAGTGCAATAAGTGAACTATGTTCCCTATTTGGAAAAGCAAACTGGCCCTAATTTATTCAATTTAGGGGTCAGCAGGGATGGGCAAAATCTACTTAGGCTTTACTCATGATAGTCCATGAGTGGCAGTCCAGTAGAGTATTTGCTTTTTGTGTTATTATTGTGTACCACCCAGAAAGTGCACAAGGTGGTCTTATGGAACACTCCATCTCAACAGAGTTCATTGCTACCAGGAAAATTATTGAATGGTTGACTGGTAGCTGTCACATAGTGGGATCCCTAAAAAAGAAATTAAGTCACTCACCTCTTTTACAAAGGAGCTGGGGTATGGAGAATAGCCATGGGGGTAGTCCAAAACCATTTCAGGAGGCAACCACCAAATCATGTAAATAATGATATATAAATATATTAGGCATGGTCTACATACCAACTTGTACAATCCTCTCCAGCATGTGCTGCAAATGAGATGCCAGGAACATCGAGATATGGTGCATTTGATGAGATGAGACCCGAAGAAGTCTCCATCCCTTCAATGAAATCCCAGAGTAAGCAATATGCTCCAACTGACAAACCCAACCTGTCAAAAGTGACAAGGGATAAGTCACGTGACACCTCAGGATCCAAATGGATAAACAAATGGTGACTTGAACTATGAAACCCTTCAGCACCTGCAACAGAATATCAAAGAGCCTGAACTGGGCATAAAAGATGATCCAGATCTGAGCATTCATAAGATGGGAAATTGAGAGAGGATGAATAGGACAGAAAGCTTTGTCCCCTTCTCTAGCCACTGAAGTTTTGGGAGGAAAGGACCTATTGGGATACAACAGAATAGAAGTGTAATGGTAAATAATTCTTTGAACATGAATCTCAAATGAAGACCCATCCCATCTTGGTTGAGAGCATTTATGCCCAAAGCCAGAGGGTGAGGGACAGAAGACCAGAAGGATGGGAGCTAGGCATTCCAGTGAATGGCAAAAACAATGGATGGAGGCATCCCATGATGAGAGCAGATCCATCAAAAACTTGTAGATGAAGCTTTCATTCTGTGGGAAGAACTCTGTTGGGATGAGATAACTGATCAGCCAATAAATTCATAACCTGGAACATGAAAAGCAGGGAGAACAATCTGATGAGAAGATCCAAATGTCTGAAAACAAAGAGACCTGGAGTGAGTGATCTCCTGCTTGAAAATGTAGGAGACTACCATGGAATTGTCCAAGTGAAACATTATCACCTTCTCTCGCAACAATTCGAGAGCACAAGATATAGCTCACTGAAGTGCTGGAAGCTCTAAAAGATTGATGTGGAGAGAATATTCCTCTTCTATCCAGAGGCCCTTGAATTCCATATCCCCTACACAAGCTCCTCATCCCTGAAGAGAAGCATCTGTGAAAGGATTATCTAAAAGTTTTGGGGCAGGAGAGGGACACCTACTACTGTGTTTTCCATGTACAACCACCAGTCAAGATTGAGTGGGCTGCAAGCTGATAGGGTCACTGGACAAACCAGTGCATCCTTGCAAATGTTCCAATGGTCCTGTAATGACCAATGAAGAGCCCGACCCAAAGGAATGAGTGATTCCAAGGTATCCCACATCCCCAAAAGAGAATGAACTGCATTTGCTGGTGGGGAAGGAGATGATGGTATTAGAAGAATAACTTGTACCATGGCCTGAAGGCATTGAGGAGAAGGTTGAACCCGACTGAGATGTAATGGAAAAAAGACCCCTAAATGGAAAAGTTACTGTGTGGGAGTAAGAATGGTAAAGTGTGAATGGTGAGTGTGAATGCTCATTGAGTGAAGTTGACTTGAAAAGGATCTGA